GGGAGCTAGCTCCATTTAGGGCTGGTGGAGGAGCGCCGCTCCACCGCTCCTTTAAATTTAATGTATAAATTGATTTATTTTTTAAATATTAATTATATTTATTAATTAAAATTCAATAAAAATGAAATTTTATTTAATTTAAATTTATCCATTATTAAATGTTTAGCCTAGTTTTATATTGGTTTTTCATCTAATCATTTTAAATATTAAACATCAAGTTTTCCTTTTTATATTGAAAATTTTCTGGAAAATCTTGTAAGTCATATTCATTTTATAGATATAATAAAAAATAGTTTTAAATATTATTGATTTAGAAGATAATATATTGGATAAATATTTTTTAAATAATGATACCAAAATTACTATTTTTGATAAATTCCCTGAATTAAAAAATATCTTTTTAAAATACAATACCCCGCTTCCCTCTAGTACTCCTGTGGAGTGCCTATTTAGTTTTGCAAAACAGGATAGGGGAGAGGTGTGGATGTTTTTTAGATTCTAATTTAGAAAATTTATTACTTTTAAGAGCTAATATATTTTGATAGATCATTTAATATAAATAAAGCTTTTTGATAAAAAAAAATATGATTTTGTTTTTTTGTATACCTTCTAAAAAAAATGAAAATTAAAGGAGCGGTTATGGAGTGGCACTCCATTACTTGGAACGGGAGCTAGTTCCTTTTAAAAATGTAGTAGCGGGAGCTAGCTCCTTTTAAGAAGGTAAAAGCGGGGGCGGGAGCTAGCTCCTTTTAAGAAGGTAAAAGCGGGGGCGGGAGCTAGCTACTTTTAAAAAGGAGCGTTAACAACTGGTATAAATAATATCATGAGTAAAAATATAATTCTAAAATTTTAATATTATTTTTTAAATATTTTTTACTATTTTTTAATTTGAACACATGATGTTAATATCTGACTTCTTTTTTCCTATTATTTTTTATTCCTTATCACTTTATTATTATATAGAATAGGATGTGGCTTTCAAAATAATTAAATTTCCAATAATAGAAATTGACTCTGCAATCTAGCTACCGAGAAGGTTTAACTATCGGCGGCTATTACACTGTCAAAATGATGTAAACCTGAACTATAACCCGTCTAATCCATTTTACTGTACCAGACCGAACCACGAACTATTTTTTTGAATGTAGGGTTTAGGGTTCAAGAATATTTCAAAAGATTTTTACTTATTTTATTTTTTCTCTATTTATATGAAAATTATTTTATTTTTTTAAATTATAAAAAATTTGAATAGTGTTGAAAAATATTTATTGAAAAATTAAAATGTAAAATATTTATATAATAAAAAAACATTAAATATTTAAAACATAATTATTTTTTTTATTTTCAATAATATTAAAACATTTTTTATGAAAATAATTTTTGTCCATTTTATTTAAATTTAAAATTTTTCTAGATACCTTGTCTTAAACGCGATACTGGGTTAAAGATTTTTCACTGAACCTAAACCATTTTTTTATAAAGAGGGTTCACAGCCCTGCTTTTAATTAAGTATATCATTCTGCTTTTAATTAAGTGCATGTAGTTAAAAGATAATTTTTAAAACCAACTTTTATGCAATAAAGGAGGCTTAGTACGATCACCCATAGCCTATTCAATTAGTGGTTTCATCTCATCCAGATTGGCAAGCTCCAAAATAATAACTGATCACTTGTCCTTGCCAGATGCACTGCTTGACGAAGCCTATATCATATGGAAAGCCTCAGTCGGAGATGAATGTCAACCACCAGCCTCCCATCAAAAGGATTGGAACAATCCAATTATTGCAAAGTCCGTTGATTACCCTTTTTTCGACCCTACTATCTGAAGATTATGCCCTATTAGCTTCCCTCAACCAAGGTTCAGGACATGAATACTTGAACGCCATCCCCTCTAAAAATCTTGATCTCGAACTTTCAAATCAAGAATCAGTTTTGCTGTAGCCATTTGCTTAAATGTAACAGCCTCAGTTTCATATAAGTGCGCCAAGTGCAATAAGCCAGTAAGTCAAACTGGTAGTCATTGCCTCCAATGCATCTTTAGCAGTGGACGCTCAATCCAGCATAACAGATGCAATGCTCTCATAAAACGAGTTCAGTCCGCAGGCTTTCCTGCCACTTTAGGACCCCCAGGTCTCTTTACGGATGGGAGACGACCAGATGGAATTACACAAATTCCTTGGAGAATGGCCGATTTCTAGCGTGGGATTTCTCCTATGTTGACCCCCTCTCACTCTCCAACATCAATAAGGACATTTTAAAATACACAGAAGATTTTAAAACGAATAAATATGTGGATATTCCTGATGAGTATAAATTCGTATCAATTGTCATTGGAAGTTAGGCTCTTAACGTAATTAAAAGATTGGCAGAGCCTTAAAAACGAAATCAGGAGACCCAAAAGAAGGCGTCTACTTACGTCGCATAGGAATTCAGATTATAAAATCTAATTTCACATGCTTCATAGGTTCATTCCCTGAGGAATTAATCTCTTCTTCTTCCCTAAATTATAGAATTCCCTCCCCCCCCCCCCCCATTCTTTCTCATATAATCATTTGCATTAATTATATTCATTATATTAATTTATTATTATTATACTTTGTATTATTAAAATTTTATCTATAAATCGAAATTTTTATTTTGAAAAAAAAAGAATGTCCTAATTTTTTAAATATATACAATTTATTTTATTTTCAAATAATTTTTTTTTAAAACTTTTTCGCCAATTCATTTAATAAATGTGTTGTTACAGGATTTTAAATTCTTCCATTAATAAAATATTTACAAGCTAAATTTAAACGACGTATATAGGTGGAAATTTTAATGGAAGAAATGTCCATAAGGAAGCATATCCACTGGGATGATAAGCAATACCATGGTTTTGAATAATTAAAAAATTTTGTGGTAAAAGGGACTTTTATTTACTTTTAATCTGTCCTACTTCTATCCACAAATTTTATTATTTTTACAATGTCATCAGAAATAGTTTTATTAATTCTAAATATGATCCGAATGATTATTATGATATTGATTATTATTTAATTAATATAAGAAATAACGGGTGAAGGGGGCTTATATATCCCTCATCGAGTGTCATAAGAAGATGCCAAATAATAACTTTTTATTTTCAAATACTTGAATTAATTTAATAAAATATAAAAAGGTTACCCTTATGTTAGAGAATTATGTATTTTCGAATATAATTGGTTTCCAGAGTGGTACATATGCTAGATAAGTAATTAGGATCCCTAATTTCCAAATATTATTAAACTCATAGTCCGTAGTTATAAATCATTTTATTTCTTCCTTTTTAGAGAAAAGAAAGCTTAAATTTAAAATAAATATTAGAAATAAATTAATTAAAAATATTATATATTATTAGACAATAATTTTTATTATAAAAACATATTTTTGGATTTATTTTTATATTTTCTTTCATTTTGTAATTTATCAATTCTTCCAAGAAAATCAAAAATCTTTACATGAATTTGCATTTATTTTATTTTATATTATTAAAATATATTCATATTCTGTTGTAAATTACCATTTTCGTTATATAAAAAATATCACCGGCCAGGCCAGGCCCGGATATTAATTTTTTTAAATTTACCAGGGCTGGGCCGGGCCGGGCCTGAAAAATTTTTTAAAAAAAATCCGGGCCGGGCCGTACAAATGGTACCTCTCTAGGTCTCTGAAATTATACAAATTAAGTTTTTTAAAAATGCTTCATCTTGCGAAATTTTTTTTGTTAACTTTATTTTCTTTATATATTATTATAAAAATTGTTTAATGTATATTTAATTTTCTACATTCTTTAATATATGAATTTTAAAAAACATATACCTTGAGATTTGAAATTAAACTAATGCAATTTAATAAGATGCTATAATTTTTCTAAAATGTTTTATAAAAAATTAATCTTGAAAATTTTTAAATGTAATTTATATTTAAGATCTCTAAAGAAATTAAAAATTTTTACATTTTTGCTAATAAATTTTTTTATATAAAAGTTTTCAGACTAAATATATATTGTATTCCATATTAAATCTACCAAAAAAGTCAATTCTCAACCCGACCCCCTTCGATTTTTTTAAAAATTTGTATGTGGTAATATATACACTAACTAATAAAAATGTAAAATTCTTCTTTTCAAATCGGTTACTTCATGAGACATGGCCATTTTTACAAAAATTCCAAAATACACTATATTTAATTATAAATATCTCAAAAAGTCATTAAACTAAAAACGCAGTTTAAATTTTATTAAATAGCTCTAAAGTAGCCCTTTAGTAAGATATAAAATTTATTATATTAAACCGAAAAAATAAAAATTGCTTTTTTTTTCTTTCAAATTTTTTTTTACAGATAGACATTGTACTTATATTTTTACAAAATCCTATATTGGGACGAGTACTGGGTCAATAGTTATTACACTTTAAATACAAATAGTTTGGCTTGAATCCTATATTATATCAAATGTATAGTAATTTACGAAACAAATAAAAAGAAAATTTGTTTGGGATAGGGACGGTGTAATGTTTTAAAAAGTGATATTGACGTTTATGACTGACATATAAATATTAAATATAATAAATTTAGTGATATTGGCATTTATAACTGACGTATGAATAATAAATATTATTTTTTCTATATCCTATGATATTTAAGGCAATTTTGCCTTATTCTCTTTAGAAATTATTAGATTTAATATTAAGTATTAAAAATTTATATATTTATTTAAGGTTTAATTCGAAAATATCAAAGATTAACATATAAATCTTGCACTATCTATTATCACGTTACTGCTCAAAGTTAGAAACAATTTTCAGAATAATTTATTAAAATCCTTTATTTAATTTGTAAATATAAAGATCAAAAAAATCAATTAATAATATATGCGATATAAATAATATATGCTATATGCGATATAAATATGCGATATAAATAATATATGCTATATGCGATATAAATAATATATGCGATATAAATATTAATTAAAATTAATTATGCGATCGTTCGCTATGATTTATTAAATAAATATTTACATTAAATTTTTTAATGGGCATATAGTATGGCCAGGCGCGTGCGCAGGAATTTGGTCTGGGAGGGGGGATAATAAATTTTTTTGAGAAATATTATTGTTTTTTAAAAATATCAAGCATAAATTTATTAGGACTAATAACTATTCCTAATACACAATTTTAAATTAATGTGAATTATAAAAAAATTATATGTAAAGAATCACTTAAATGACCCAAAATAGAAATTTGAATTTTTTGAGCCTTTAAAAAAAAGTTTCTTAGGAATAATTGTATTTTGTATGTTATATATTTACAATGTAAAATCCAATCTTCGTTGGAATTGAGCTAATTTTTCAATTATCTCATCCTTGCTTGTCGTCAAATGCCTATGAATATTCAAAAAATCCAAACCTTTCAATCTACTTTCACATGTTGTACTTCTTGGTATGTATTTCAGAGACCTGCAGGCCCGGCTCCTGGGCCGGACAATATTTTAATTTTTTTAATTATGCCAAGGCCGGGCCCAAAATTTTTTTTAAAAAACACCCGGGCCGGACCTAAATTTTCTTAAAAAAACACCCAAGCCGGGCTGTATTTTTTAAAACAGCCTATATTTGAAATCGTTATTATTAGCTATAAAAATCAAAAATAAATATAATTTATTTTTAAAAAAATCCAGGCCGGGCCTGAAAATTTTATTTTAAAAAAAGCCGGGCCGAGCTTGTAAATTTAAAAAAAAGCCGAGCGGCCTAAAAAATTTTTTAAAAATAGCGTAAAAAATCTTTTAAAAAAATCCGGGCCGTGCCCTGCAAATGGTACTTCTGCAGGCTTCTGTTATTCTTCTTAAAAAAGAGAGTGTTCTCTCATTAGTTTACTAATGGGAAGAGTTTATAAACCCTTTTAATACATTGGGAATTTAATCTAAAATGTGTTTGAAATAATGCAGAGCTACCATAGCATTTTTTGGGACTATATCAACTATAGTTAATCTTATAAACATAGTTATTCAGCTAGTAAGGCATCATAAGATACTTTAACATCTTCATAATAAATATCTAACAAATATTTTTTTTTTCTATCACCATCTGAAAAAGGTTGAAGGCTTTTGTGGAAGTAATATTTGCAGATGTAAGTGTTGCATGATATATTAAAAATTCATTTATTTGGGTTATAAATGTATCTGCATCTAAGATAAACTCTTCTACTGATCCTATATTAATAATTTAACGATGAGCTTGCCTTGCTGTCGAGGGAGACAAATATTAAACACGTATAGCTCTGCTTTTGACTCAACAATAAAATATAAAATAGGAAATTCTTCATCAACATTAGCCCTAATTTCCTTGAGTTCTGATAAAATGCTCCCCGCTATTCTCATCTTCTTAATCAAATCATTGTCATGTTTTTGAAAAGTAATACTTAAAATAGTTGTATAATTAAGTAATACATTCTAATGAGAAATAAAATTTGGAATAAGCATTGAATCCAATAATTTTCTTGCTTCTGAGGAAATATTTCTTTCAGGCCATTGTAATATTTCAGTAATAGCAAATAATTGGCTATTCTAACTCCTTAATAGCTGTTAGTGCTTGATGGAAGAGGCTCTATCTCGTTGGACAAGGTTGCAATTTCTTTTTCCCTGTTGGACCAGAAGTTTCAGAAATAATTATTATTTGACTAGAAATTTGAAAATGGTAGATAAATATTACGCCACTAAAAATTTGAAAATAATAAGTAAATATTACGGAAAACTTGAAATCGAAATTAATTGATAAAATAACTTATGAATGTGATAATGTAATATAATATATATTTAATATGAGATACGAATAAATATTAACAAATATAAATTAATATAAACAATAATATTTTTGAAAAATATATCCGGCATCTGCATTTTTTGGCTTTGGGGGGGGGGGATTTGCCCCCCCCGCTGCGTACGCCAATGAGTATGCCCATTTGTAAATAGTATGTATTAAAATATTTGTCTGGAGCATAATTGCCATTGCAACTATCTCCACCTCTGTACCATAAACGGCATTTTGAGCCATGCCCGTCCTCTCCAGGTACGCGTCAACGGGTTCTCCCAGAAACCCCTCCATCTGCTCTGCCACGTCTTTACTTTTCATAAAGCGCGCACATTCCGATCTCAGGAAGTGATAGTGGCATTCATCCTCGCAAATTTCTTTGCTTATACATCTATAATAATGATTAACAATTTAATTTATTTTAATTATCCATACCTGAAAAGACAATTACCATCGCCAATTATCCGTTCAGTGGAAAAATTTTCACTCATGATGCCATTTTTAAATTTGGGATATCTTTTCTTGATATCCCAATTATAGCGAAGTGAGTGGTATATTTTCCAATTCCTATTTGTAGGAATAAAAAGATTTTTAACATCTTTTTTAGAAACCACTGTCTCTAATATAATTTCATCTTCTAAAAAATATGTATAAATCTACTAATTATGCAAATTTATACCGTTCCTATTGAGCTTGTCTACTTCGCCATCTACAATCTTCAAGTTGGAAGGCGGGGCACCTATTAAATTAAAAAATTAATTTTATCAATTCTTAAAAATATTACTATAAGGTCGATGCTCATCAGGCTTTAGCATTCAATGCTTCACTGATTGTTTTAACTCCATCATCTAAAAAATATGTATATTAAATATTTTTTTATTATACCTTTTTTGTTTTGACAATTTTAATCCTCTCCAATTATCGTATTTAATAATTTCAAAACTAGACATTTTAAAAAAGATTTAATATTAAATATGAAAATATTACCCTTCATATGATTTTCTTCCGAATTAAGCTTTACATTTTTAATTGCTTGTTCTTGAAAATTTTCTTCATCATCTAAAAAAAGGAATATTATTTAATAATTAAGTCAATTGTATGCCTTTAATGGTAGAAGAATGAAACTTTTGACTTGGTAACCTGGGAACTGTTTAAAAGTTATTTAATAAATTTTTAAAAGTTTTAACCTTTTTTCTGTCTTGCTTTAATTGTGTCATCTTGATAAATATATAAATATAAAATTTATTTATTTATAAACTATACCTTTTCTTAACATAATGTTTTATGTTACAAATATTTGGTCGGGTTTTTACCTGTTTCCCACTAGCACTTATTAGCTATATTGCCTAAATATTATAAATATTTTTTTGTTAAAAATCATAATTTATACTTTTGACAATCCAAACTATTGTAAAAGGACCCAGCCAAGGCCGTGTCATTTTTCCACCCTTCCTATCAGCTCGACGGCTGTTCCAGATAAGCACCTTATCATTTATCTTATAGGGAGCATTTTTCCCAGTATGGCGGGTTCTATAATCCCTCTGCTGCTTGAGCTGGGCAAGATTAATATTGCCCATGGCAATATTATGTATGTCCTGCATCTTGCTAACAATACTTTGAAAATGCTTTTCCCTATCTATCTCCTCAACATTGTCAGGATCTATATAATTTTCCTCATCATTCTTTAAATAGGGATATAATATATAGTATATAATTTATAATTGGTATACCCCATAAGCTTGTATTGCTTTTCTACCATACATCAGCTCAAAGGGCGTGAATTTCGATGTGTCATGACAAGATGTGTTATAGGCAAATAATATCCCAGGCAAGGCATCTGTCCAAACTAAATAATCATCTTCAATACACTTTAGAAGTGCATTCTGGATTGTTCTATTAACCCTTTCAACCATGCCATTTGCTTGAGGGTGATAAACACTTGTCACCCACTGCATGGTCCCCACGAGTTTGTGATAATTAGTGCTAACTTCATTCACAAACTCCCGTCCTTGATCATTAATTTGAATCTTCTAAAATTAATATTTTATTATCAAATAAATCATACTTTTGCCCTGCCATATGTGCATAGTAACGAATAAAGGAATTTCGATGATTTAGCTGTTTTATCCTTTAAAGGCATGGCTACAACATATTTACTGAAGTAATCAACAGCTACTGCAATATATTTATAGCCATCCTCACTTTCTGGCAAAGTACACAAATCAACTCCTATTTGTGACCATACCTTTTATAAAATAACAGATTAATGTTATATATTCTACTAGGAAAGAAATTTAACTAGTATATATAATGTAGTATATATAAAAGTTGAGTCAAAAATCATTGATTAAGAAAAGTCAATATAAGATTTAGGTAAGGTAACATATAATTAATGCTTAATGTTGTAATATGCTAAGTAATGAACTTATTATGTGAAGTAGAAAGAAAAACAGACAAAAAACTAATACTTAATATGATAAATGTATGTTTATAAAAATAAATTTGTTATATTAAGATTAAACCTGCTTTAAAACTATTCAGAGTATTAAGATTGATAAAATATGCTTGTATGTCGATTAAAATTTAACTAATAAGGGTATTAAGGCAATATTAAATCAATACCAGACTGATATACATGTTATGTGGAGCTGAAACCTACTTGATATTGATAAAAAATTAAGTCAAAAATAATATAGTTATGAGGCAAAGACAATAAAGTATATTAAGGCAAAACATTTTAGGAAATTTTAAAATTGAAAAGAATGTAACAGGGTTAGATAAAATATAACAGGTAAAGACACATTACTGACATATTACCTAACTAGAGAATATGAGTATATATACTGTTAGATTAAAGCTAAATTCATGCTACATTATGATTAAAGATAAAAGGAGAAAAGGATAAGAAAAAATATACCTGTTTTGAGAAGACTAATTAAGACTTAGACACCAATTAGAAATAGGTTTTGAAAGCAAAAATACTTTACTATTTTTGAGATATTAGTTGTCCTTCTAAAAAAACGCTTCACGATCTTGACTTCTTGAGATATTCATTTTTGAAGATTTCATTGCAAATATCGTTTTTAATAATCTATATTTTACATTACAAAAAAAAATTCAGGATACTAGAATAAAATATCAGTCATCAGCTCCTTAAGAATAATGTTTCTTGATTGACATGAGCACTTTTTCAAAAAAATATCATAAAAATTACATTGATCTAAATATACTCTGATATGTAAATACATTATAATCGAACAATATAATCTGAAAATACTCCACAAATAAGCTTAAAGGAGTATATAAAAAAATGGAGTATTTTTAAAACGTTACACCGGATATATTTTTTTATAAATTTTTTGCGTCGTGTTAGAAAAATAGGCCCTATCACTAGTAGACATTGTGTCAGTTTCGCTATTTTATTTTAGAAAGAAAATAACTGTAAATATATTTATAACTTTATTTAGCCACATGAATATGAATTAATATTGTAATAAACATATTAATTAAATAATTTCAACATTAAATAATCTAATGAATTAGAAAAAAATTTGACTTTCATTTTCCTTCCATTGGAATAAATGAATGATATTTTTGTGTTCCGTGAATTCGTTTGGCTGTTAAAAATCTATTTTCGAGATTGGTTTCCATTCTTAAATATTTAATGATGCTGACAAACATGTAATTAATCCCCGGGATATTAATTCTCGCATAATTATATAAATCCATAGGAGTTAGTATATGATAAGGACGTTGCAGGCTTGCTTTAGCCGCCAACCTCTTAGTAATTCTCTCTAACTATTGTGTGGAGTTTTGCCATGTTCAGTTGCATAAAAATGTCATTCTGCCTTGATCCCAAAATCATTATAATGGTTATAGAGGTTTACACAGTTTTTTTTGTTTCTTTACTGGGTAACAGCTCCATCAGAAAAATAAAAAAATTTTGATATCAAATCTTTCTTTCAAGAATAGAATTAATTTTATTTGATATAAATCAAAGCTGTATAAGATTCAGGATTATTGCTTGGTAGATCAGGTTCAGAATCGCTAAATGTTTCATTAATAGTTGAGGTAGAAGGTAAGTTAATAGAAGGTAATGTCAAAGGAATAGAGTAGAAGTTAAAGGTAAGATGGGATTTGTTGAATATTTTTTTAATTTTTTTCGGCAAGAACTACAAATTTTTTGATTAATTAATAGCTAAAATTCAAAAACACCTCTAAGATCGTAACGTACTGAATGAAATTTATTCGAAAGGGGTTAGAGCACTTTACTGGAATAGAAATAACTTTTGTAGACATTCTTTTGATGAGAAATTAAAGATACGTATTAATTTTATATAATTTTTTTAAATTAATAAATAAATTAGATAATGAATACTTTAATTTAATATCTTTGAAAAATGACTATGTAAAATTAATCAATAAAAATGACGGCTGTTGCTGTTGGAAATAATTTTGAATATGACTTTATGCCTAATATAATTATTTTGTTTGATAATTAATTATGAGTAGATTAAAATAATCTTTAAAATGGAAATATATTTCTGACGATCGTAAAGATAATTAATTATCCGGCAATGAAAAATAAACTATATCATTCACTCACAGAGTTGCCAGGTCAAAAATTTAGAATTTAAGGAAAAATTTTTTTTTGGGAGGGGGGGGGCGAATATAGATCTTTAGGTGGGATGAAGAGATTATTGAGTTCACTTTTTATTATCATAGTTGTTACTTTATTACTTTACAAAATCATTATTTATTCCTTATAATGCTTCCAAATTAAGGCGTTGCGTTATAATTAAAATATACAATACAATTTAAAAACGCAAAATAATCAGATTTTTTAGGATTTTAGTTTTAATAGTATTATTCACATATATTGCCACTTTTTTTAAAAAAAAATAATTACTCTATATATGCTATAATATAGGATTTAAGCCATACTACTTATATTTAAAGTGTAATAACTATTGGCCCAGTACTCGTCCCAATCTAGGATTTTGTACAAATATTAAGAAATATAATGTCTATCTAAAATAAATAACATATTAAAGGGCTATTCTACAGCTATTTAATAAAATTTAAATTGTGTTTTTAGCTTAATTACTTTTTGAGATATTTATTAAACATGATGTATTTTGGAATTTCCGCTTTTCTAAAGATGGCCATATCTCATGAAGTAAACTGAGTTGAGAATTAAAATATTATATTTTTACTAGTTAGTGTATATATTACCATCATACAAATATTTAAAAAATTATAAGAGGGTCGGGTTGAATCTTCAGTAGATTTGATATGGAATACAACATATTTTAAATTAAATTTTGTCATGCATAAAAATATTAACAATATTTTCGCTAATTTAATATCTCATAATTAATCTTTAATTAAATGTGAAAATCTAGGCCAGGTTGCGGGATGCTATAGCTTTTTTAATAGGCATTTATTTTTAACAAAAAAAATCAACTATATTTCTATGAACACCAGAAGATACTAGTTTGGCTAGCTAGGATCACGATAACATAGGTTGACTTGTTTTTTTAAATTATGACATTAATCGGCAAATTTTTAGCAGGTGATATTACTTAGATAAAATTTTAATATAAAAAATAATTATGAACACTATATTTTTTTTCAAAACCTTTCTTATTAAAAAATAACAGAACAAAAATTAATGTAAATTATGTTATTTAAATTAATTTATAATGTAAATTATGTTATTTACATTATTAATTATTAAAATATCTATGCTATAATATCGCCCAGCTATAATAAAATAGTGTTACCGCAATATTTTTATATAATACTTATCCTTGTTTAGATGATATCTGTTTATAATATTAACAAATGAAAAATATTTATATAGGGTTATGAACCTGATAAACAAGTTGTCACGGTAGCGATGGAATTAAGTAAACAAGTAAAATAAAATATATATTAAGCTATTCAACATTTTAAAATTTTAAGTATCATACAAAATTGCGCTACTTTACCGATCCCAAAGAAGCTATTAAAGATAGTAACGTTGTTATAACTGATACATGGGTTAGTATGGGGCAAGAAGATGAAAGGGATAAACGGATGAAAGCATTTGAAGGATATCAAATTGACAAACATGTTTACAATACAAATATATGGCTTCTTTGTAAAATGTAATCATGTTGCTATTAGAGTTTTAACTTCACTTCAATCTATATTACAGTAAAGCGATTTAAAATAACAATATGATCCTTCGAGTTTGCCTTATTCAAAAAATAGGTCTGAATCTGTCCAGACGTTATTTTTAACCTGTTCGCCCTCCATTTACTTGGGAGGGTCGGACCTTTTCGAAAAGGTAAACCAAAAGTAAAGTTAGAGCCTTATATAATCAGACTATCCTGAGTCAAGTATACTTGGATTAGCCATTTCTTTTGGCTAATACTAAGTCTTAGCCAATTTTTTGACTATAGCTAAATTTTATCCTATTATTTTTGGTTAAATATTATCCGATTTTTTTGGTTAAATTTTAGCCTTATATGTTATTTTATGGCACTATCGAGTTAATTTTAGTATTCTTTTATGGTTATTCCTCTACCATTTTTTTCACTCAGACTTATTCTTATCCATTTATTATTTTAGGTTTGGCCTTGTATTTTATACACTACTGCACTTTCTTCCCCGAATTTTTTTTCCCAGGCAACCTATGCAAAATATTTTTTTCTTGCCGGCAATTTATGCAGAATTTATTCTAGGGCTAGGTCGACTATGAATTCAATTGGTGCAAGATATAGTTACGGGCCAAAGCCTGTTTAAATTCCTTGACGCGCCATGCTATTGAATTTAATTTATTCTGAGGTTGCCAAAATCATTATTTTAAATATGTTTGATTAAAATATATAGATAATATGATTCATAAGGGTTTTCAATTTTTTTTGGGTAAAAATAAACTTTTTAATATACGCTTTAAAATCTTGATAAAAGTTACTCTAGAAAATAAAGTAATTAGCTATAGCTAGTGCAAATTTTTTCAAATTAACTTGTAACTAGGTACAGTTCAAAGGTAACTAGTTACATTGAAAGTTATTATATATCTCAGCTAGTGTTATCTAAAACCTCGATTTAGCAGGTTTTAAAAAACTGCAAAATAGATTTTAGTCACAAAATTTTATCTACAGGTAGGCAAGGGGAAGACCCCCGCCCCCATGGAAAATATGACTAGATAAAATTTTTGTTTTTAAAATACTTGTATGTTAATATCTAAACGAAAATGTGCTTTCTTTTTTTTAAATCTGATAAAACCTAAATTTTCTAATTCTAAAATCATCTAGGAAATTTCTTCTTCTATTTAAAAACTGCGTGAAATAATTTTAAAAACCTACGAATTAACAATATAATCAAAATTTTATATAAAAAATTTGTTTATATTAATTTTAAAATATTAGAACGGGAAGCTTCCTAATGACGTCATAATTTTTATGACATCGTCGTTTAACCTTCTTTATTTAAATTGTAAAAAAGCACTTAGTATTACTTTACTAAACAATCGTTCAACTTTAGCGCTTGATGGTAAAAATAAGCTATTATTACCGTTATCAATTTTACCGTAACCACTCCATCTTATTTTGGTATATTTTCCGAAGATGCCACAAATCTATTTGACTACTTTTTATGTCACTACTAAATTATAAAAGCATTGCTACGCGAGTGGCATCGAGTCTCATATTTAAAAGATGATAAAAAGTTGATGTTTTATGATGATGATGTTGTTAAAATTATAGATCTCATATTTAATTTTTTTATATTATAATTGCTTTGGTGCTTCTAGAGTCTTCGCTCAATTGAATCTTGTCTAATAACTTTATTATTTATTCTGTTTATTAAGCGGATTTATATAATAAACAAAAGTTTATGCTATTAAGCATTACATATTGTCTTAAACAATATTAGAACTTTCAAAAGTTTGGTTAACTTAATGTCAAGGGCTGCGTTCTAATTTAAGATTCATATCAGATTTTTGAAAATATAACTCGATTTAACTAATTTTACTTCTTATATCTATTAAATAAACTGTTAAGAACAAATAATCTCTATAAAGAGATCCAAATATTTTTTGAATCAGGGAAACCAGGTCAACGTACCATATCTGGTTATTTATTGTTTTATCACAAATAAATTTTTGAATTGAAATAGTTTCACATATGATTCTTATAGTGCACTATAACATAAAAAGCATTTTTTTCAAAAATATTATGATTTTGAGCGTTGTTAAATAGCCCATGGGTCGTTTTTTAAAAACTATCCGATCAATATTTTAACCAAAATAATATTATGTAAGCCTGTAGATTTTGCTCATAGATGGAAAAAAGTTTGGACCTCTATTTGCCAAATCTTGAGGCTTAACATAATATTATTTCGGATAAAATCTTAATCGGACATTTTAAAAATCGGGCCATTTAACAAACCTAGCGCTAGATGCCATTGAAGTTAGGCAAATGGGTTTTGTTTATATTCATAGTAAACCAAAATATTATTTTTTCATAATAATTATAAAAAAAATTCCAGAAAATTCATAATTTTATTGTTATTCTGATTAGTGATCTGCATTGGGCCTAATATTTCAAGCCCGGCTCGACCCAACCCGATTTTTTTGAAAAAAATTTTACCGGCCCGACACGAATTTATTTAAATATAGAAATTAATTTTTTTAAAAAAATTATAAAAACTGAAAATAAAAGATATATGTCATATGGCGTTTAGTTTCTTTAAATAAAATCAAATATTTTTATTTTACATAAAAAATTCAACATAAAATTGATAAATTTAGAGATATTTTAAAAAATTTCCAAAGCCCGACCCGGTTCGAATTTTTAAAGGCTCGGCCTGAAGCCCGTTTGGGGGCCGCGCCTACGTTTGCAGATCTTTAATTCTTATTATATTCTTTCATATAAAAATACGTTGAATATATTATTATGAATTTTTTTATCATTTTATTTTAATCATATTTTTATAACAGTTTTTAAATATATTAGAATATTCAGATGGATATTTATTTGCGTGACATTATAAAGCAAAAATAAAAGAAGGCTTTGAATCTTAGATTAGGAGGAGCAGTTATACATTTACTCAAAATTGTCTAAATACCCTCTTTGCATTTTATAGTTTTTTACATTTCTAATATCGCATTCGAAACACCTTGGATTTTCGCAACTGATACTATAAGAGAAAATAAACTTGAAAATTCTCCCCTGGAAACAATTAAATTATGGCAAAAAAGGAAAGTGTCTATTATGATTACCGATATGAAAAGCCAAATGAAATATTTGTGGTTCGATGAAAAGATAGATGGTGACAGTTGCATTAACATGCAAAGCTCTTAGCCCTCGTGCAACGTGGCATGATTCTTTCAAAATATTTTTTCAAAAATAAAAATTATACAACCTAGGCTCATAAATTCATATAATTCTCAAGTGGGTGGCGTTGATATAATCGATAACATAATTTAATATATAGAATAAATATACTAGGTAAAAAAATTATGGTGGCCTATTTTTATAAATTTTTTTGATGTAGCAATGATAAATTTATGAAGGTTATGGAATCGAGTTAATCGATGATAAAAAATCATTAGAGGAGACCGGGGTTCTATTGTCTATAAAAAATAGAAGTACTATATAGACAATGCAATTTTATTCTTTACATATATCTCTACAGTAGAAATTAATATTTAAGAAAAAAATCATTAATTTTTAATTAATGTGAGATTTAAAAAAATAAAAATTTAAGTTTTATGAATTTTTCACATTGCGTGTCATAGCCCTTCTTTATTTTTAGATTTTTAAAAATTTTTGATATAAAAGTGTTGATTCTTAAATGAATAAAAATAAATTGTGAAATATGTTAAATTTATTAGGGTTTATCTACGGTATGACTAAATACTGCATGGCTAAAATGCATTGCTAAAAAGCTATTATTCATAATCAATCAAAATTTGATTATATAATTTTTTTTTTTAAGTAATTTTCAGAAACATTTTTTTAATGTAGTAAAAAATTGAGATAAAACAAATAATTTAAAATTCTATTTTTACAATATTATTCGAATAAAAATAATATTTACTAGCTTATTAAAACTTAAATTTTATTTTTCAATTGCAAAATTTAACAAATATATAACCATAAGAGGGCGTTAAATGCATAAATATGAAAATATATTCTTAGGAAACCAGAATATATTGGAAAGCGCTTATTTTATATTTGGGTGTAAATACATGTGTAAAACCTAAAAAAATTTAAAAATAGAGGTTTCTTTGACATTTAATTAATGAGTAGGTTTAGAATCGAAAAAGAATAAAAAATTTGTAAGGCACATATTGCTTGCGTTTGATCAAAATCTCTTCATTTTTGGTTTATAAGTGTATATTTAGGTGTTAAGCATTATCCTAAAAAATATTTTGAAAATATTATGATTTGACCGAAAGCCAAGCTCAAAACCGACTATACTAAATATTCAATCAAATTTGGTAGTAATATTAATTGGAATTCATTTTTGGTTTATTTTCTATAAATACGAGTAAATCATTATCCCAAAAAATATTTTAAAAATATCGTGATTTGACCGATAACCGATTACCGAAATACTGTATTGCGTTATCCATGGAAGTTTCTTCATTTTTGGTTTATATACAATAACGTGTTAAGCATTATCCTAAAAAATATTTTGAAAATATTATGATTTGACCGAATGCCGAGCTCAAAACCGCCCACTTACTAAATATTCGATTGACCAAATTTGGTAGTGATATTAATTGGAAAGAGTTCATTTTTGGTTTATTTATCTATAAATACGTGTAAAACATTAACCAAAAAAATATTTTAAAAATATCGTGATTTGACCGATAACCGATTTGAAACCGAAATATTGCATTGCTGGCGTTATCCATGGAAAAAATTTTATTTTTGGTTTATACGTGTACAATAACGTGTTAAGCATTATCCTAAAAAATATTTTGAAAATATTATGATTTGAATGCCGAGCTCAAAACCGACCACTTACTAAATATTCTATCGACCAAATTTGGTAGTAATATTATTTGGAAAATGTTCATTTTTGGTTTATTTATCTATAAATACGTGTAAAAC